AAGGTGCCCGCCGAATCCCACGTTCACAGGCTTCTCCCGCCTGTGATTTTTTTCGGGTCTCCGCCTTCGCCATAGTGGCCAGACCCTATTTTCCACGGGGCAAATCCCTCACGGTCAGAGGGATTCCGCCATTGCCGATGGCGCTAACCCGGAAGTCCCTAGCTTCTAACACTCTCACACAACTCTGGATTTTGTTCTTCTAACTAACAGCCAGGTGAGGGAGAGGGGTCCAGCCTTTTGTCCTCTGGCACAGAGTAGCTTCCAGTTTTTTTACCTTAATGACCCATACTTATGCCATTATCAAGAAGCTGGCCTGGCTAGTCTAGCAATTGAATCCTTGTTGGGTTCAGGAATTGGAAGGGACTCAGGCACACAGCCCTCCCACAACAACTCACAACAGTATTGTGGAAAAATCAAATAACATCTACAGCAGGACAGTTACACACCATGAATACAGATAATTCAGAAATGTCAGATTATTTTGTGGTAGGACGAAAAATAGGATTGTATGGGAAATAAACTAGAAGAACAACACAACAATGACAATGTCACATTGCCCTCAGTAAAAAAATAAAATAAATATAAATTATAAACCCAAAATGAATAGGACAATGCTATGAAAGTAGATCTGGAGAAGCTCTCAGTCAGCTTATTCTCAGGAGGAGGAGTATGCTTTTTTAGTTACTTGGGATACAATTACCTAAAAAACAACAACACATGTTCCCCAATATCAACCATACTGGGCTTCTATGATCAGCAGGGGAGGCAATGTTTGTGGTGACACCACTGGGAGTTGCCTGGTTGGTGGTAACTCACAACAGAGGCTTCTTGCTGGTGGTTCCTTGTTTGTGGAACATTATCCCTTGGCCAGTGCATCATTTGCACTCATTATTAACTATTAGGAGAATTTCTATTTGATGGCTGACCACTCAGAAATTATTAGCTTTGAGAGCAGGTGATTGCTTTTTGCAGTTTTCAAACTTTTTTTTTTGAAGTTCTAATTATATTGTTTTAATATGGGCATATTTGCCACCTTGGGCTCCTTTCGAAGAAGGCCGAGTGAGCCAATGTGAACTGAAGGAGGGAGCCAACTGAACCCAATGTGGAGAAACGGACTCCTATTTTCAGGACATCTAAAGCACAACAGTCAAGTACAGAAGTGAGGCTTTTAGAGTTCAGGCTCTGAGTGTGTGGCAATCACTAAATCTGGAGAAGCAATAGGCTTTAACTGGCTGAAGTGGTGTGCAAACAGTGGCCAGCAATTCTTCTTTCCCTTCTGAAGTCGTGGATTGATGTTTAATATAATGCTTTAATCGGGATGTCAGAGAACAGTTAACATATTAAATACGACACAGCTGTGTCAAGAAAAGCATGTGTCCCAACGAATGCAAAATAATGTACAACAGCCACCTATTTTAATGCTGCTGGCACAAACTAAACAGGACAAATGTCCCAGAGAACAATCCCTTTGTGGCTTTAAAGAAGAAGAAGGGATAAAATAACCCCCTAAGTACCTGTTATACTGAAGGAATTGCTGAAAGAAGAGACTTTTCTTTTCTTGCTTGCAGGACTCCTCAGAACTGGTAGTGGCACGTCTGGGACCACTTGTATGGTGCATCAACAGACAATGCAAGGTTTCCATCTCTCCCTTTAAGCTTGTATTTGCTCTGATATAAAAGGCTGTAAAGATCTGATAGTTAAGGAAAAAATATAAAAAGTCAGCTTCTTTCAAGAAGAGCTTGTCTTTGTCCTTTACCTGGTTGTCGTTTTTTTAAAAAAATGTTTTATAAATTACTGCATAGAGTACAACAGGTAGTTTTCTGTTGCACCAACCCAAGTGCATATAATCAAACACAATGAATTGTTTGAACTCAATACGTACTGGCCAGAATTGACTAGAAAGCAAGTGATGCAGTTTAGATTTGGAATGGGGGAAACTGGAGCAGAAAGTTTCCTAGTTCAGTTTCCTAGGTTGAGGATAACCACAGACTACATTTGAACATCTCAGCTCAGCCATATTTAGTTTTCAAAACCCTAGATAAAAGGTAAAGGGATACCTGACCATTAGGTCCAGTCGTGGCCAACTCTGGGTTGCAGCGCTCATCTCGCTTTATTGGCTGAGGGAGCCGGCGTACAGCTTCTGGGTTATGTGGCCAGCAGGACTAAGCTGCTTCTGGTGAACCAGAGCAGCACACGGAAAAGCCATTTACCTTCCCGCCGGAGTGGTACCTATTTATCTACTTGCACTTTGACGTGCTTTCGAACTGCTAGGTTGGCAGGAGCAGGGACCGAGCAACGGGAGCTCACCCCATCATGGGGATTCGAACTGCCAACCTTCTGATCAGCAAGTCCTAGGCTCTGTGGTTTAACCCACAGAGCCACCTGCATCCACAAAAGCACTCCTTTTCCTTTCCTAATGGAACCCCTCCTCTTTCTAGGGCAGATACAACTTTGTGGGGAGGGACTTTCACAGCTTAAGACTTGCTGCAGAAAAAAAACCCCTTTTCCAGACTTCCACCCCTGAACTCCCAAAGATTACGGAACTACCAAGAGAATTCCCTCTGCCAACCTTAACTCTTGAGCAGTTGGTTGGAATGTGTGAATCCTACCTTGATGGAGGATAGAGAGTGATGTGTGTTTGACCACACCCACTTCAGGCATATTACCTACTGGCATGTGGTCCCTGGAAAATTGTCCAAGGGGGAATGCAGCCCTCAAACGGAAAAAGGTTCCTCACTTCTGGTCCATTATATGTTGTTACCCAAGCACATTTCCCTGCTCTTCAGTGGACCCTTACCATGACCCACCCCTCACTCTTCAGTAGGCTATTTACTCAAGAAGTCTCTCTCAGGGTCAAGGGAATGGATTGATTGGTAGAGTGGAGTTTCCTATCTTTCAGGCTTGCTGCTGCTTCCTCCTGCAGCTCTCCTTTCCACACATACCTTTGCCTTTTACTCCCTCCCACTTTTACAGACCTGACCTCATTCCTGCATCTGGAGGCTTTGGCAAGGTGGCACTTGATTCCACAGTAGGTACAATAAACAGCCTTCGTCAACCCAGTGCCCTCCATATGGTCTGGTCTGCAACTCCCATCAACCCCAATTCCTACTCTACCAGATAATGCCAGGCTTTGAAACTTGGATCTTTTGCATGAAAAGCATGTGACCTACCACGAAGCCCTTCTCCTTCATTAGGAAGAACTTATGAGTCATTTCCTAGTTTTATGGTTTCAGTTGTCATTTCCTAGATTTTTGTTCTATTTTGCAGTTGTAACTGTGTTTCACTGCTGCCAGGTAAATGACTTAGGTCCCAAATAGCTGAAGAACTACTTCCAGGCTTTTATCAAAAGACAGTCTTTAGAATTTAAAACTACCAATGAAAACAAATATTTAAAATGTGTGTGTGTGTGTCTCAGTTATTTTAAAGCTATTATATTTACTAAACTAACACGTTAAAATTATTGCATGCTCAGATTACATGCCTGGGTAGGCTTGCTGAGTTTAATTATGGAGGTCACTTGAAAAGTAGGACATAAACATATTAAAAAAATAAATTATAGTAAGTTTTAAAAGGCTGTACCTGAGATACTAAAGAGTGTGGGGGGAAAGACGAATTTTGCAATTTAGTGAATCACACAATTCAGTTCTCTTGGGTGTTTGCTTTAAAAAACAAACAAAAAAAAACCACTTATTAAGTATCCAGCATATAGAAATGTGTAACAGATTTCTAGTTTTGCTTGAGCTGTCTGAAGTGCCCTGGTGATCAGAAATAAGTAATTGCAATAATAACCTGACCAAACTCTGGGGGTTGTTTTCTGAGGCACATCAGTGCCTTTGAGCTTTTCAAAGATCCTCAGGCTTGCAAGCAATAATCCAAATTATTATGCTGCATGTTCTGAAGTGTGTATAACATTGACTACCTTATTTTTTTTTAAAAAAAGATGTCTCTTTTTCTGTTGTTTATGTGTGTGCTCCAATAGATTTGTTGGAAATGTTAATAAAACTATTTTAGCATAATGAGGAGGATTATCCTATTTTAGGATAATGTGCAGACATGCAACACTGTGTGTATATATCTATATATAAACATGGGAAACAATCTGAAATGGTTTAAAAAACCTTGCGGCCTTTTGAAATTATGAGGTTATTCTCACTGTTCTGTCTGCTTTCCATGGTAGAACTCTTCCACTAGTGGTTCAAAATCTCTGCAAAAATTGCATATGTAAACTCCTAATTAAAGCTATTTGGGGATTAAGTTTCCATCAATATGAAAGACCACGCACACACACACACAGAAAAAAACTGCAGAAGAAAGATGAAGTAGAAAAGATATCCTAGGTGGGTATCACACCAAAAACTTTGGGAAGTAGTTGAAAGATGTCAGTTATACTGAGATAATGTCCTCCAATGAGGCCGGGTAAGCAGCCACTTTGAGGTGGTGCCCCTGCGGGTGTCCCACCCACTCTACTGCCTCTGCCACTGGTGGAGAAGCAGCATTGGCATTGGTGCTGATTTCTGGTGGGATCTCGCAAGAATGGATCAATTGACTATCCAAAAAAATTAAAGTCAGTCTTGGCTAACAGTCTACACCTCAGAGCTAAAGGGTTGGCAAGCTTTAGACTAGAAGAGATGCTAAGTATATACTAAGTATAGTGGAGTGCCACCAGTTCCCAAATCATAACCATTTATTGATGATGCTCTGTTGTTGGCTGCCCTCCGATTATCCTTATGATATGGTGCAATATGTTTGGGCAGTGCCTGGACTGTGGGTTGCAAACCTACAGAGTGCACATTTTTCTTCAAGCCTGATCAGATGTTCCACATGTTCCACATTACAGAGGATAATTCTTTGCTTGAAGAATTCTGGTTCAAGAACAGCTATCCAGAACATAGAAAGATGCCTTGTACTGAGCCAGACCAAATGGTCCATTTGGCTCACTCAGTACACTGACTGGCAGCAGCTTGCTGGGGTTTCCAGTAGAGGCCTTTCCCAGTACTACCTGGAGATGCTGGGGATTGAATCTAGGACCTTCTGCATGGAAAGCAGGATGCTCTACCACTGAGCTATGACTTTCCCTTGTAAGAAGGAAGAGCAGAGGCACTGATGTTGTCTATCCATAGCTAGCACCTGGACTGCAGCCCACACAGGTCACCTAGTCATGTTCCCCTCCCCCCATTACAGTGCTATGTATTATATTTTTTATTTACAATATAGTAATTATTTCAAAAAAATCATCTATACATGCAAATTGGCACGTGCAAATCTTTTGCAAACCTGTTCTCTTTTGTCTTCTTTGGGTGATGCTTTCCATCTATTTTGAAGATGCTTAAGTACAGCAGGAAGAAAGTACTGTTCTATTGATCAGACAAAGTCTTAAGGCCAATATCTAAGTATTTATACTGTACTAGGACGCGGGTGGCGCTGTGGGTTAAACCACAGAGCCTAGGACTTGCCAATCAGAAGGTCGGCAGTTTGAATCCCCGTGACGGGGTGAGCTCCCGTTGCTCGGTCCCTGCTCCTGCCCACCTAGCAGTTCGAAAGCACATCAAAGTGCAAGTAGATAAATAGGTACCACTCTGGCGGGAAGGTAAACAGCATTTCCGTGCACTGCTCTGGTTTGCCAGAAGCGGCTTAGTCATGCTGGCCACATGACCCAGAAATTACGCCAGCTCCCTCAGCCAATAAAGTGAGATGAGCGCCGCAACCCCACAGTCGGTCATGAGTGGACCTAACGGTCAGGGGTCCCTTTACCTTTAGGAAAGCCAAACTCAAAGTTTACGTATATTGTTTGCCAATAACACACTGGTGTTGCACACATTCTCTCACTGTCCCACCTACCACAGAAGGCAAGGATGCAGCCTTTTGTTGGATTTCCTGGTTCAAACCCCAGGGCTTGTGAGGTTAGTTTAGAGCCGCTGCCAGTCAGAGTAGGATAGACCAATAGTCAGTATAAGCCAGCTTCCCATGTCTCTCTGATTGTATACTTTTGGAGAATCTGGCCCTCTTCTACTGTGTCATTAGTAAGTATGTATTATTGTAAACTTTTCACATGCAAATTGTGTCATGTTAATTTGCAAGGACTTAAGTTTAACTGTGTGCTCATATTTCTTTATCTGAACTCTAACAGAAATTAATTGGACACCATAAATTCCTTAGAACCAGAACAGAATGTTACACTGTATTTCTTGAACTGCGCTACTTCAGTTCACTGTGATTGGGAAACGTTTACTCTTCAGATTTCAGACTGTAGCATGTTGGACACTATACATTCCCATGTGTACTTGGCACATATGGTAACTCACCATGCATCAGAAAAGAACACATTGAAGCCTCTCGATCCATTATGCTTGGATGTCATACCAGATGACAGGCTGTTGCCCTAGTATGCAGAAGAATTGCATCTTCAAACTGCATGCTTCCTTCTGTGATCTTTATATTCCTGGATGAAAAAAGAACCTGTAGCTACATGGAAGACGGCTGTTGGGTATTGATAAATGCAAATTGAGAGAGGGAGGTCAATATGACAGACAAGAGCTAGAACTACTTATATTGGTCTTGTCATGGAAGACTTGGAAATCTTATCTAGATTCTCTCTACCATCAACTGGTCAAATAATAGTGGTATGAGAACATTGTGCACATTGATAGGTTTTATAGTGCCATATTTTGGGACAGTGTTCTACAGAATAATTTTCCATTCTTTCTACTGTTGTATATAGATGGCTTGAGAAGAATTCAGTTTATGATTTTACGCTAGAAAAAAATGGCTAGAAATAAAAGCATTTTCTGATTATTGTCTATTAAAGAAACTCTTCTAAAAATACCCATGCATGGGACATTCAAACTGTACAGATATATATAGGACTTTCCAAGTTGGAATTCATGGACTAATTCATGGAGGAGAAGGCGCTCAATGGCTACTAGCCATGATGGCAGCGTAATGGTGATCACCAGTTGCTGGAAAGTGCAAGAGGGGAGAGGGCTCTCCTGCTCAGATCCTGCTTGCAGGCTTTGCTTTGGGACATTTTGTTGGCTGCTGTGAGAACGGGATGCTGGACTAGTTGGGCTACTGCCCTGATCTGGAAGGCTGTTCTTATGCTCTTAAACTGCTGTTAAGGGAACAGTAGAAGTCGGCAAATTTGTCCTATTTTTTGTTCTTCAGAATATGGCAACTCTACATAACAAGAAAACTATGCAGTAAGCTGAAAATGCACCTGATTGCAAAGAGGTGGGCCAAAAAGCTGTATTAGAATTCAGGGCATGCATCCAATGTAGTACTAAGTAAGTGTCCTGCTAGCACAATAATTTCCGCCTATGTTATGGGACTTTCTTCCTCTTCTACCTCCCATGCACACCCCACACCCTTCCCAAATCTGCTCTGGGGGGCTGTGAGAACCCCCAGAACAGTTTTAGAGGTTGCATAGGGAGAGGAGAGGGGAGACAGTCCCATTGCACAAGTGGAAATTCTTGCATAGATGGGACATTTACTTAGCACTGCATTGTATGCAAGTCTATAACCATATGTGATAAGTATTTCATCATCATGCAGGGCACAAACACAGTTGCCTGAAAATGTAGGATTTGACTGTGACAAGCAAGGGAGACAAATGTGTGTAAGGGGGAGAGAAGATTCAAATTCACACAGTTTGGATTGTGTACTGCTGCCCTTGCCTTTGCATACATTACAAAATGTGCTGCCCTTATGTAACTTTTCTCATAGCAATCTGGATGGTGTCGATTTTCTCAGAGCATTGAAAAAACATTTAAGTATACCCAATACTATAAAATACTTTGCTAACTACAGAGAATGAAACTACAGTTTGCTGCTATCCATTTAATGGACATATCCTTTGCTCCATGAAGCCTCTTTTCACCCTCCACTCTGTAGGGTTTTGTTCCTTCCAGAATCCATGATCCTTTGAGCCTCTGTTTCATTTTTATCCAGGGACTTGGTTATTAGTGGACAAAGTGACAAGTATGAATTGTCCAATTAAGCTTTATGTCTTGAGAACGAAGGACATATTTGCAAAGATGTTTTATGCATACGTGCCATGCCATCAAAATCAGTGGCATTGTTAATCGTAATTAGCAATGATAATTAGCCCCACATTGGTGCCATTTGTAAGAACGGCTGTTGTCTTCCTGCCCATTCTGTACCAATGAGTATCTTTCAAAAATGTAGCACTGTGCTAAAGGACAGAGCTTATAGTCCAATGCAAACTTAGCATTGAACTTGATTGGAATGTCTTCTGAGTACATATGTATAGTACCAACGTTAGCCTGTTGAAATCTGCATAATTCCATGTTGCTCTTGATGACATTTGCATCCAGGTCTCTAACACCAATGAATAAATGGCACAACTGTTTAAAGTACTGTTGACTGGGGTGACAGCCTGTCATTTGGTATGCCATCCAAGCTGAATAGACCTGTTCTGATCCATCGGCAGCAGATACCCACGAGGCAAGGTGACACCATGGATTGTTTCAAGTGAGTAACATACTGCAACAGAGATTGGATGTGGGCTGAAGCTTTAAGTGTCCATCCATTTGGTCCCCATCTCCTAAGCTTCACTCCCCTGCCTGAAGTGGCGCCTGCCCCGTGGAACGCCCTGCCATCAGATGTCAAAGAAATAAACAATTATCTGATGTTTAGAAGACATCTGAAGACAGCCCTGTTTAGGGAAGTTTTTAATGACTGATGTTTTAATGTATTTTTAATCTTTTGTTGGAAGCCACCCAGAGTGGCTGGGGAAACCCAGCCAGATGGGCGGGGTATAAATAAATGATGATGATAATGATGATGATGAAGAGTGTGAATGTGTAAAACCAGGATGGGGCCTGTAGCTTTCCATATGCTATTGGACTGCAACTCCCATCAGCCCCCAACCAGCATGGCCAATGGGAAGTGATCATGGGTGCAGTAATCTGGCTGTGGATGGAGAACCACAGGTTCCCCACCCCTGATTTAAAAGACTAAATTTATAGTCTGCGAGCAAGTGCTTTGCCTCCTTTTGGTGGTGCCAGGTGCAGTGGCACAGAAGCTATTTGATTCCACACACTAACTAGGCTTCGGAAGGCATACAAAATGGTCCTGACTTGGATTCCACATTCTTCTGACTGCAAGTTAGAGGTTCTGTAGCAGGAACCCAATCCAGCTCTTCAGCTGACACTGTTGCATCTCTGAACTCAGCTCACTTACCTCCTGCTCATTCTGAGACTGGAGCCAAAACAGGACCTAGGGAGTCAGAATGTATTCTCTTGATGATGCACATAGGGGAGCTATATGCCACAGGTCCCCATGGGAACAAAGTATTCACAGTGTGCTTTTGTATGAACTTGGGAAAGTATTTGGAATTCCTAGAAATCTAACTCAGTTAACTTATTTGTGAAGAATGTTCCTCAGCCCTGCCCTAATGAATGCTGGTTGGCTTGCTAGACATAGGAGTTCCCTGTTAGTGCTATATCCTTAGGCCTAGTTCAGATGCTTCCCAGGCTTGCAACTGCATCTGAAAGTGACTGCGTGTTAATCTCTGCTGGGTGGAGTTCGGGCTTCTACAGAGAACTGCAATGTCTATGAATGACCCTACAAGCAAATGGAGGGCAATCCTGATAACAGCCAGTGATCTTAATAAACAAACCCCATAAAACAGAAAAGCAAAGCAAACAAAAGTAGTACTTGGGCATCATTTGTTGACTTTATGGCAATTAGATCATTATTAACGAACATGTATCCCAATTACCAGAGCTGAAAATATGCTTGTCTTAATAATTTACCAAACTCCTTTCACTCTGTCACATTTACATATGTGCTACTGCAGTTTAATTAAGGGATGAACGGGAATATGTTCTTTAGTGTTTCTTTCTTTCTTGCTAGCTGCATAGTGATACCAAGAGGGCTGGGGGTGGGTGGGGAAACCTGGGCACAGGTCCAGCCCTACTCTGAGGCATGGTGAGGCACCTGTTTCAGGTAGCTGACAATTGGTGTCACAAAACAACAGCAAATGACTAGTTATTCAATTTATTATTCTTGTATTAATAATACTTCTAGAGAGGGGTATTTGTGGGATTTTC